ATTTTTTCAAGTGACAACTCAGTATCTCCAAGTAACCTGTGTTTTTGACAGAGCAATATCCAAGTAGATAGTTTTGATTTGGTTTTTTACGGCATATTTGAGATATCAGCACATGTTTGTTGAATGATGAATATTGCAAGAGAGAATAATAAACATGGAGAAGAGACATACATAAACACATTTACCTACATGTACAGTAGAGCATGGACATTAAAGATAAACTTGAGTTCTGGTAAAAAAAGAAAATGAATTCTCACAGAATCTAACAAAACTTACACTGAATGTTCAAGATTACAAATAAACGTCATGTGCCAAACAATTTTGGAAGAAAATGTATACTGGCTGAGTAATGAGCATAGAAAGATAAGGAAATCAGGGTAGTACTAGCCCCGACACCATGTTTGTTGTCCCATATACATCTTTCTGTGTAAGTGATTGTTACTTTACCAAGACTCTGCCAAATTTATTATGATTTTGATGACTCCAGAACCTTGCATTACACACCATTACTTACTTGCTAATATGATAAACTTTTCTGATCCATTCCACACCTTTTCTTTCACAATATACAATCGTATTACCAGAACTCAAGTTTATCTTTAACTCCAATCATTTAAAAGAGTTAACGCCCTTTTTATTCCCAACAGACCATGTCATCATGTAATAATGGGCAACCAAAATTTACTTCAGGCAACTAGAATTAGCCAGGGTTCAGCTTTCCAAACAGTATCTTTAGGCCCGCCTTCATCAGCTCGAGATTGCCAAATATTGCAACATTTTAACTATTCCTCTCGCAAATAATCCAGTTAATTTGCGTCTTCATCAGCCCGAAGTTGAAAGTAGCAGGATATTTGGTCTAGATAATCATCCCAAGAAATCTTGGGCTAGTTTGCAAAATATTCCGAGCTAATTTCTCGAGCTCGAAGACGCAATTTTTAAGTTCAAGATTATTTCCCAAATCAGAAATAGCGGGTATTTGGCAATCTTGAGATGATGAAGACAGGCCTAATGTGTGGTTTTCCTTTAATAACTTCTACATCATATTTCTCTTGGGGATATATGCATCCTTCAGCCACAGCACAGAGATATCGTTCTATCTATCCAAGACGTTTTTCTATCCCTTCAATAATTTTGATGTTGATGACAAACAACGAAAGATATCCATGTAATATGAAGAAGTGCCTGTACTCCTGTATAAACAAAGTTAAGTGATGATAAGTCCGGATCGCGTGTTATTATCATAGGCATGTTTGCCTGCTTTCGGCTCCCTAGTAGACCCCCAATTCACCTTTATCCTCATCACAATTTCATCATCTGAATTTTTAAATAAAAATAATGTTTCCTCCCTGCCGTATGCAAACAGATGTTTCCAAAATAGCCCTTTTTTCGCCCCACTCTCTCTTTTCTTCTTCCTCCCTCTCACACACATATCTCTCCCTTGTCTCTCACATTTCAAATATAATTTCTGGTGCCGTGATGATAGACGTGTTCGATTTCGATCGAGTCATGATCCGAAGTTCCTGTACCTTGTCTCTGATTGATCCGTGCTGTTTTCGTTTGGAATCGCTTTTTTTCTTTTTCTCCTTCTCCCCAAGAATCGGTCAAGTTCTAAGCAAGGGCATGACACCCGTCATGTCACTATCATCGTCCAGGGGGGAAAGTGGGAAAAACCGCTCTTCTCTTCTTTTCCTTCATTTCTTCTCCAACAGACAGGAACCCGGCCATTACAAGGTGCTAAAGATTACCCAAGTTTGCCATTTAGTTAAATGCAGACCCGGTAATCAACGCCTGCGTTCCCCTCGTGGGTTTCGTATGTATAATCACATGAAGCATGTCGCACCAGGATTTCTGCTCAATTGCCATCCTTTCGGCCTAAAACGCGTTTTCCTGGCACGTTACAAAAACAACAGTATCGGGTTTGGCCTTTAGGCAAGACCCCTTCTCTTTTTAACACCGTCGACGCTCCATTTGGCAAGCCAAAATACCCTTAAACTTTCCTCTATTAGACTTGTAATCGTTTGGTTTCTATGGATAATGCAGCCGGGGCGCTCAAGCTTACTAGAGGTACACAAATGTAGATCAATAGATACAAGCATTGCAGCTGAATGTACAACCTTAGAACTTGATAGTGGTGTTGGATGGCAAATGAAGCTCCCATTAATTGTGTCGTGATATTAGATTTTGATGGGAATACATTTATCCGCTAGAGAAATGGAATGCGGTAAAAAATCTTTTGCTTTGCACAACCCAGGTGTGAACTACTAATCCAACAAGTCAAGAAGATCGTTTTTCATATAATTTTCCAATCTGATGCTGACTTAATTGATTGTCTATAAAAAATTATTGTGATGTTGGTTGCCATTTTTTTAAAAAGAGGTTACGAAAAGTTCATGAGTCAGGAAATAATGAATGGTGTGAGTGGAGGGGGGGGGGTAAAGTTAGATTGCGGAATCGTTACTCAGTTATTGAAAGGAAGGAATGGTAACAAGGGCTGAGAGAGAGAGGGGAAGAAAAAAAGATGGCAAGAGAAAGGGACAAAAGAAAGAAGAGAAAAGTACATTTTGTAGGTGGAGGAAGGAAAATTCAGTCATAGAGTGAGATCATTACAAAGTTTTTTGTTTTGTTTTGTGGGTAAACCAAGTAATGGATAAGGCTGTAGAAAAAGTCAAGCGGGAGGAAGAGATTGATCAAGAAAATGATGCAGCGATATAGGAAAAAGAGAGAGAAATAAAAAGAAATAGAGAAAGAGACAGAGAGGGAGAGAGACGGAGAGATGAGAGGTAATTGGAAGAATAACATACCAGTAAAAGCATAGTAAAAGGCTGACAAAGGAGAAAAGGGGTTGGGCGAAAGAGACATTGCTAAATGAGAATAGACAGGAAAAGAATAAATGGAAACGGGATTGGAAACAAGATGGATAAAATCAGAAGAAACTAGATAAAGAAAAAAATAAAGGGAAGAAGCAAGAAATTGAGAAAGACAGGAGAATATATAGGGAGAGACATGAAAATAAAAGGAAGGTGAAAAAGAAAAGAGAAAGGGGAACGATGGAGAAAAAAGGAAGGGACAGAGAAAAGATATACGGAAAGAAAGATGGAGCATATACGAAAAGAGAGAGAAAGAGGATGGGAAAAAAGAAACGTGCAAAAATAGAGTAGCTTCATACTAATATGCTAGCAGCAAAAAAACATCTTATATGTCATGAATTTATGGTTGCACGTCACTTCTCTCCAAACATCACATGATAAGCCCTTGAAATTTCATTGGACTGGCCTTTAACCAAAAAGATAAAATTATCCACAGGTTTTCTAATAATGTGAAGGACTCAGCATTTCTATCAGCAATGTACGAAAAAACCCATAGTTTCAATAGATATCGTAATCCGATCGGGACAAAAAAAAAAGAGGAAGTTGTTAATATGTTTGCCCTTGTTGTGTATCTGTCTGTGTGCACAGGGAGGACATAGGATATTTTCAAAATATGATTGAGTTATCTTAATTTGTTGAAAGTGATCCATTCCTTCTGTTTTGTATGGTTGGAAAATTTTTAATTTTCATGGGTTGTTTGATAGTGTAATGAATGCGATGTACTATAAACTTGCCCAATTGACAGTTACAACTCTTGCCCTTGTACTGAAGTCAGTCTTTCTTTAGGATGCCCCTTTTCTTCGCTTTTAAATAAATAATAAAATCCTGTGCCGTCTGAAATTCAGACAAAAAGGTTTTATTGTTATAATGACGAATACTCACTGGACATTTACTAGCCAATCTAGGAACTGCTCAGGAAATATTATTTCAAACAAGAAATCCCAGTCACGTAGATTCATCTAAAATGGGACGGCAACCTAGTTTACCGATTTCCTTCTGGATCTCCATGGGAACTCGCAAATAATTTTGTAATGGATCCCGTAATTTCTTTTCTTTCTCAAATCGTGCCCCGTCGCGAAGACACGCCCAGTGGGGAAACAACAAACAGAAGTATGTGAAAGTTGTAAATGTCTGTGATACTGATGCAAAGAGCTTTAATTAGTTTTGAGTGTATCTGTTTCAGTCTATTCATTTCACTATCAAGGAGTATGAAGATCACAATAGTTTGTTGAATCATAAATAAGCAATTATTACTACATATGAATAATGTCAATATGATATTTAGCTTAGAAGGGAGCAGCAAATGATAAAGGTGGATATTGATTTAGACTAACTTATTGTTTAGCTGTTCTACATTTGTATGTACACTTAAATAACTGTTGAATTTAATTTAAGTTTGAGTAAATATTAATGCAAACAAACAAATTATCAAATCAAAGATATGCAAAGCATATTCCCTGCTCTGAAATGTATTCTATTAAATAGGTATTGTATGAGATTACAAAAAAAAAAAAATTAATTAATTAATTAAAATTCATAATTTAACCAAAAAAAAAAAAAAAGCATGAATATTTTCTTCTTTTTATAGTGGCCCATGCCTCTACAATCTATGACAGGGAAAACTACTTTTTAATCTTTATGCATTAAAGTTCCATCAATTTCATGCAATATGGGATCAAATCCTGGTTGTTAAATAAAATTTGTGATGCAAAACTAATTCAATTCTTTCAAATGATGGAAGGAATTTATTGAATATTTTAACGCATATGGAATTCTATTCTGCAGTCTGAAGACTGAATTTAAGTGAAAATATTAATCCATTTCTTGTGAAGAAAATGATATGAGGATCAAAAATTTGCTAATTATGCATACCATTATGTTCTGTGAAGTATTTCTTTTAATATGAGTTACTGGAATCCTACATTTGCTGATGTACTTTTTAAAAAAATTATCAAAATTCTATGAATGATAATATAGTTTTACATAATAATTAGAACAGGAAGTCTTACAGGAACTTTGTGGGCTAATTACAGTACATCTGTCCTGTTTAAAAACAGTGTCTCATTCAAACGTGATCATTCTCTAAAAAAAGAAACCTCAAAATGAAAGTCAGAGTGGTTTACATGTACGTATATATGTAGGGGTAAGTAGCAGATTTGTTTTCTCCAAATCTGTCCTCCTCTTTCAACAGAAGCAGGAAGTGCCAAGTTTGCTTGAAAAAGACCAAAAATTACTGACATCCTGAGCGGGCTGCAGCCCAAAATCATGTATTATGTAACGTCTTCCTCCCAGCGAATTGTTTTGAGCTAAATTGGGGATAAATGTGTTTCCTGGGTAGCTGACCGAGGCGTAAGATCGAAGAGAGAATAATCACAAAAAGTGCACCGCCCTGCCTGCCTTGTTCATGTGCCAATGAGTGACCAGTAGTAATTGACCCTAATCCTCGTTCGGTCAGTTTTTGTCCAAACTTAGACCAGGTGTCGAGGTAAAGACAAGACGTGTTATCACCGAGATTGTACTTTTCTTCCTACAAGTTGGATGAGTAGAAATGAAGAGAAATTTTTATTTTGATTGATAGTGCTTGATTGAAAAGGATGATGGTGATTTTTTGAAGGTGTTATTTGAACTGAGAAAAGTTGATTGTCTACTATTAAGTGGTTGCCAGTGGGTTATTTAGAATACTGCCAACTGATTTTTGTCGGAGACATTGCTGTTGTACTTCAAAGGTCAGCAAAGGTCACACATGTGTACTTGTCTTGATTAGATTTGATCGAGGAATTAGCAATTACGAACTTTTGTGAAAGTCATCTTTTTATTGGTAAGTAGAGTACTCATTGGGATTTTTAATGTCTGCAGTGTGTAAATGTTTTGAATTTTGAACCAGTTTGAACATAACATTTACAGGAGATTATTTTTACATTTTTCTATAAAAAGTTGGGATTTATTTCCAAACGACAAATCTTGTGTTTTTCGATTTTCTTTTTCTGGAGCTTTATAAAAAATATTTAATACTCAACTATTTTCAATTAATTAAACCTATATGTATATTTCAACTTGTCTTCTATTCATTGCACCTTATCTATTCATTAAAAACACAGGAAAAGTAACAATGTTTGCATTTACACTTCAGGTGTTTATTTAAAGATTTATAGCTAATAACGTATGTTTAGGTTGATGATCTGAATTTTTATGTTATTTTATACAAAGTTGATTATTGGGCCTTTTGCTTTTAGTAATGTAGAACCTATAAAACTTGAATGCAAATGCAAAGATTAAAAACCAAATCATCTCTTGAAGTTAAACAATTAAATATCTAACATTTTACAAAAATGTATACACTGTACAGTGTACTTTTAATCCCTCTGGCATTATGTTGTTATAAGTAACACCTTAAAGGGTACACATTTATTCAACCAAATGCCTCTATGTTGTTTCTGAGATAAGTTTGATAGTCATCATTGTGCAGTGTATGTTTCCCCTGCTTTTGTTATAAAAGATAATCAAACAAATCATTGCTCTAGCTTTTATGCTATCACAATTTGAGATTATTTTCCCCTGCTGATAGGGATGTAGTTTCCTGGGTGGTCCCTGTACTTGTGACTTGTCACAATTTTTTTTTATAAATTGAAATTGAAATTGAAATTGAAATTGAATTGAATTGGCCAGGTACAAGTGTTCCATAAAATTTTATCCAGGTATTGTTTGAGAAAGTTGGCCTTCATATTTGATACCACCACATTTTTTTTCTAATTCAAGAATTAGTCATTCTTCTGAAGTTCTGAAGAGCTACATGTATACGTTCAAAATTCCTATGATGCCTAGGCCAGAATTGTCCCTATATTGTAGTTTTGTTTTGCTTTTGAAAACTGCTTTTGTATGATTAATCGTAAACGTCTCTCAGATTGAATCAAAAGTTCACACTTTTGTACCAAATGCTTGACAGGATCCTGTGCTGAGAGCTAGAAGGACGATCAGTACTAGCTCTTACACAAGGAGTAAATGTCCTTTTGATTCTCAGTCTCAAAAGACAATAATTATGCTTTAGAACAAAGAGTAGTATTTGGTATATAAAACTGTCAAGAATCTGATGGCTCAATTACTGTACATCAGTCCTGCAAATGACCCCCCCCCCTCCCCCCCCCCACACACACACACACACACACCACACACACCTTTTTAGTGGAAGGTTTCCATTTCTCATTTAGCAGAAATGAAGTCAACCATTTCTCAGAAATTGCTGAGTGGGAGGATGGGACGGGACAGCGAGTAACGGGGGGACCAAGATGAACATGAAATCAAAATGATCTTTTAAAAAAATCCAAATATTTCACACACAAATAAGAGTTACAAAATTCCATGCATGTACACTGTAGCCCCATGTATTAAATTGTCTGTAAAAGCAATAAAAAGCAATAGAGCAATTACATGTACATTGGTTTACTGTTGTAGATTAGTTACTGATAATTGAGAAATTAGGCAATTGGCAGACATTCAAACTGCACACATGTGTTGCCCTTGTGTGGTGTAAGTATGGACCTTTTTAATTATCATTTCAGATATGATACACCAATGAGAGCCAGAAGGCCGTTAACACTGTGTAAAAGCACATGAGCCATTAATATCTTTCTGGCTCTTAGCAGATGTTATGCCTTATCTATCTAACTTTTTTTCTTCAAATAAACTTTCTTTTGAAATTGGCTGTAAAACTTTTATTCAACAGCAAGTGGATAATACTGCTGAAATATATAAAGGAGAGAGCAAGCATGAGAACTGTTTTGATATCGATACAATTTAGAGAGAGGGGGAAGAGAAAGACAGAGAGAGAGAGAGAGAGAGAGAGAGAGAGAAAGAAAGAGAGAGAGAGAGCATATGAAAGGATTGTCATGGTGGTGAGGTATATTTCAATTTTTATTAATATTCAGACACTAGCATGTGTAATGTACATCAATTTTTAGGTTACAAGTTCTGCATTTTCCTTCCATTTACCCACTTAATCCAACATCATGGCATAAAACCTAAATACAAACATTTCTTTCACAAAAATTGATACAGACATGGGATTCAGAAAGGTATGAAATCTAAGACTAAGCCCCAAGGGTCAATGCTCTCTGGCCAAACACACGGTCCAGATTTTGTGCCAATCCAAGAAAATAATTATGATTAATCTAGACCTATTAATTGATATAATTACACATTTCCTTTTGTCTCAAGGGATCGCTAAGTCTTGTCGAATGTCGTGCGAAATATGTAGGCTGGAATATACGTATAAAAGGATTACCGTGTTACATAACTCGAAGGAATCATCAATTTTACACAATGAAGGACGCCCATTTCTGTTACTCATCAAACTTGTGATCTAATGTTTTGCGATGTATCACTGTTTTTATTTTGTTCAGGTGAAAAAGTACAGTTGCCCCGGAAGAGCTGTTTGCATTTATTTAGAAGGAAGTTGTAGTAGAAGTAGTAATAAGAGCTGGAGTAAAAGAAGCACCCAGATGTAAAGATCGCAAAGGAGGGGGGAGGATGGTGACCTGTATATTATGTAGAGTGGTCAATATTATACAGAAAAGAGAAAATTCACTCAAAGTAGTAGTAGAAGTAAGAAGAGGAGTAGAAGTAGTAGACATAGTAGCATTGTCAGTAGTAGTAGCAATATCAATAGTCTGGTCTAATTATATATGCCTCTTAGTCCCAGAGGACCTACAGCTTTAAGTCCTATTCAAATAGCAAATATGTCATTTCTCATTTAATTTTAAGACAAGATATTATAATCTGCTTTCTGTCCAGTCATTTTTCATCATCCCTGTAACCTTTATTGTCAGTACAATTCATCTGATAATACTTCCATCTTTTGTTAGAAACAAATCTTTTGTATCAATTGAACTATAGATCTCCTATTCTCTGTTTTTCACTTTTATCTCATGTAACTTGGCAACAGAGGAAAGAAACCAATTTTTAAAAGAATTTTAAAAATATCTCACAGAAAGCCTCAGATTGTCATATATGATTTCAGGTCATTTCAGCAAGGAAATCAATTTGAAATATTAGCTCGCATGTCCGATCAAGATTCGCGGATCGGGTTACACATTTTGGAGATATATCAGTCTTTCTCCTCAACTACAATAATATATGAAAACGGTCCCAGCTTAGTCTTCTGTTCATGCTTCTTTTTGGCTTGTCAATATTTTTATCTGATAAGATTTGAGACAAAGATAGCCTACATAACCCAGAAACATGTACCTTAACCCAATAACCCTGTAATATTGTTGCAATGATTATCATTATGGTGAGAATGTGATTATGTGGTCTATCTGTCTAATAGAGGAGAGACGCAGGAAGACTTACAGATACCACACAGGAAAATGAAAATAATTGGTTCTGGATATTACCCATAACCTGATACATCTTTCAGAGTTGTAAACCTCAATTTTCTAGATTCGTTGAACTTACTAAGATATGCTCTGCTTTTTTAAGCAATGAACTAACAAGAAATTGTAATTCTCTCTCATTTAATGGCTTTACAATTTTATTTGTATTTTTTAGATATGATTAGAAAAATGAAATTGATAGATTCATCTAAAGTTGAGTACATGTAGTTATGCATTTTGGTCAGATTTATTTATCTGTCGAAGGATGCAGAAGTTAATAGTCAAAGTATCATATTATTATTAGAAGGATAGTGGTGCTACACTTTTTAGGGTACTTACTGATAATCGCTATGTAATGATATTTCTTCTTCTGCTTCTTGTTCTTCTTCTAGTTCTTCTGCTTCTTTCTCCTTCTCCTCTTGTTCTTCTTCTTCTCCCTCCTCCTCTTTTTCTTCTTCTTCCCCTTTCTCCTCTTTTTCTTCTTCTTCTTCCTCTTCTTTTTCTTGTTCTTCTTCTTCCTCTTCTTTTTCTTCTTCTTCCTCTTCCTCTTCCTCTTCTTCCTCTTCTTCCTCTTCTTCCTTCTCCTCTTCTTCTTCTGCCTCCTCCTTTTCTTCTGGCTCCTCCTTTTCTTCTGCCTCCTCCTTTTCTTTTGCCTACTCCTTTTCATGTACCCAGCATGCATTGTGTCATGACTTTGACTTTGGTTACATATTGTTTTGCTATTTATTCTTTAAAAATTTGTTCCAAAAAATCATTTATTAGATGAGAGATCTCCAGCCTGGGTCATAAAAGGACAACATTGTAGTACTTGAAGGGGACATGTCAACTTCTAGATAGACCCCAATTCACGGAACTCTTCATAATCAATTACTTCCTTTTAGTGACTAAGTCTCGCCTAGGCTAGTGAGAGAAAGAGAGTACAAGAAAAGAAGGACAGATGACAGATAATTAGGGAGAATAAGAAATCTAAGTATGCTTAGGAGAGAAAACATAGCACAAAGACGCAGGAGAGAGAAGGGGCAGACAGAGAGAGAGAGAGAGAGAGAGAGAGAGAGAGAGAGTACAAGAAAAGAAGGAAAGATGACAGATAATTAGGGAGAATGAGTAAATCTAAGTATACCTAGGAGAGAAAACATAGCAAAAAGACACAGGAGAGAGAAAGGGAGAAGGGGGACAGAGAGAGAGAGAGAGAGAGAGAGAGAGAGAGAGAGGCAGATATAGATTTGACACTTACATGTACCTATTTTTACCTAAGAATTTACCAGAGCTCTTTTTAATTTTTGTAGTTCAGTGATATGACCATTAATAAGTTGCTAAGATGGGCAGGTGTTGAATGGGCAAGTGTCAAGTACACACAAACCTGCTTTTAGTGTCCACCTTGCACCTGAATAGAAAGACCACCAGTCTTTAAAGACCACATTTTCTGTTTCCCTTGAGTATTGTTATTCATTGAAATTTGTACTTAAGGAACCTGTACTTAAAGACCACCTGCACAGAAAGGCCACTTTTTTTTAGTCTCCCTTGAGTGGTCTTTCTATACAGGTTTTGCTGCATTTGTACCACCACAGGATATATCGAAGGCTGTCTTAAATTGTCTGCATTTTCATAGACACTACCAGATCCCTTAATTGCCAAGTTCCTTGTTCTTGGGGGAACTTGACCAAAAATCTACATTTGGGTGGGTCCTTCTTTTGTTCAAAGTAATTAATCATTAGAGTATGAGTGTCAGAGTGAGAATGATCCTTCTCCCTTCCTGCTGTCACCTTCAACCCCCCTCCCCCATTCATACTTTAAAAATACATGTTTTGTATAATGTCTTATTGTCTTGTAGTATATCGTTTATGTTTTCAAATTGTTCCACATGAACGTTCAAGTCACCTTGCTGTGTTCATGTCAAATACATATATTGATATATAAGAATATTACACAAAAATGCTCTTTTTTCCTTACCAAACAATTTTCTTTAATGATATTGCCTTGTAGATATTCCTGTTACAAGTGTTAAAGCTACTTTACGGTTGTCTTAAATATGTGCTTCTTATACCCATGTACAGTTTGTATGATTTTCCGTCAGTGTGAAAGACCCTTAAGCAACATGCGACCCCTTTAGCCTTGCTGTTGTACTCCTTCAGTACCCTGTATAATATTGGAGGTTAATTGAACAGGAAATTATGCTGAAGTAATTTGTATGTGCTATTGCCTTTTGTTTCTGAATATACATAAGAAACAGATGATTTTGTGTCACTATTTTTTTTTATAGTGTCCAAGTAGAAATAATTTTCTCTTTTTTTCCCTTTAAAAGGTGTTTCATTTGAACTGGCATATACTGGTTGTATGTACATGTATGTGTCTGACATGGAAACTATTTAATGTGCTACATAAGTATTTAGTACAACTACAAGCAGTAGGTGTACTATTAATAGTCAAAATACCATTGTGTACCAGGTGATGAACACGTATGTATACATGAATGTTCAAAATGACCTCCCCAACATAATTGGATGATTTAGGTGATGTACATACTTCAAAGATTATATGACCGACAAAGTCTAACTCAAAGAACAAAAAATTACAATTCTACAGACATTGAAAATCCATTTATCTGTGATGTTGCTCATATAGAGAGTAGCAAAGGTTGATTTATGTCAAACAATGATGATAAAATAGATATTTTGAGCAATTTAAGTGTGGAATAGCGCACTTTTCAATCAATATTACCATTATCAGTTTTTGCTCAAGTACATTGTAAATGCACTTTGCTCCATGTTGTATTTACCTACGGAAATAAAACTTGTGTATGAAAAGAAAAGAAAAACAGCCCAATCATCTTTTGGGTAAATTGAGATTTCTGTGGACTCAAGTTTTGTCTTATCTAAGCTTTTTGTGGATTATTTGCAATTTCACAATGTGTTTTGTTTCCCATGTTGCTATCGGTTTTGTAGAGTAAGAAATAAAAAAGATATGGGGTTGGGCTTTCTTTATTTTCTATCGAGTGAAATTTATGGTTCGTGTGCTGCTAAACTCTAATCTGAAGTGAATTCTGGACTATTAATTTGAGCATTAAATTGCTGTATGTTCAAAATAGGTTTTATTGATTTTTGTAAGTGAAGATAAAGGGGGTTAAGGCATGGCCCATGGCACTCAATCCACGCTGTCTGGCATTACTCAAATATTTGCAAGTATTGCAATTTTTTGGATAGTAAGACATCATTTCAGTCAAACGTTAAGCTTTCAGTACGTGAGGTTTTCTTTTCCTGAATTTTCATTTGAAGTGCAAGTCGGCAATAGCTTGAAGGTGGTGCTGTTTGCAATTCTTTACACTTTTTCTAAATGTTTGTTCATTTTAAATGTTTAAAGTTGTAGACTTCATTTGTAATGTTGTTTAATCTCTACTTTTTTCTTCTCTCTCTTAAATTGCATCCCACAGGAGAAGTCACACTCACTGAAGCCTGCTTCAAAGATGAAACTCTAAAACAAGAAGGTAGGATTGTCCTCTCTACTTTACAAAGGATCTGTCTTCAGCAGCTCAAGTTTGCCAAATAACCTGCTATTTTCAAAGTTGGGATATTTAATCCTGAAACCCGAAATTGCGTCTTCACCAGACCAATACGCTCATCACAAACTAGCTCATTTCAAATTTCCCAAATAGCGGGATATTTTGGAAACAAGACCAAGATTTCTCAGGATATTTTCTAGACCAAATATCCCACTAATTGCAACTGCGGGCTGATGAAAATGCAAATTAGCTGGATAATTTGTGATCAGGATGGTTAAAATAGCAGGTTAAAGCCTCAGTCACAAATGCCATTACGAACTGCTACGAACGCTGTACGAACGATTTTCAGACAATGGAAATTCGGGAAGACAATAGAAAAACAGAGAGATTCGTACAAAATTATCGTTCGTACGAACCTTTGTGACCGTAGCATAAGTGGCAAACTCGAGCTGATGAGGATAGGCCTAAATTAGAGAAGGTTGAGTTCTGAGAAAGGTCAAAAATAATCTGTGAGCTTTTCATTCTCCTTATGTATTATTTTGTAGAAGAATATCATAGAAATAATGTCCCCTGAAAAGGATGGATCTTCAAATGCTCTCATATTCAAAATATCACACAAATTAGCTGCAATGTTTGGACCAAACTTTCATGCCACACGTTTGTGTACTAGTCCCATGTACTTATTTCTGTGTACAGTGCATGTGAATATTAACAAGGCTGAGTCACTTTGTTATCATTTTGAAGATTCCAAAGCGTTGCAATGTAAATGAATTCTTAAGTGCTACATAACCAAACTTTTCCATAAGTTTCTTTCAAAATTCAGTCAACCCGCATGACCAGAACTCAACTTTATCTATAAATATGGATTTATGATGTGAAATCTGTATAATCATCTGCAACATTTTGAAAGACTTTGTCTGCCATCTTACAATGTATGTGCTTGTGATTGTGAAAGGAAAACGTCTATTATCCTGATAAATTTCATTTCTTCTTTGATGAATGAAAACATGAAAATTAACCATATACTCTATATTTAATGTTGTCTTGAAAACTGTGTCTTGATAGAAACCGAGAGTTCTTTTTACGGTGATTTGACCAGGGTATAAGCTTAAAGTGGGCTTCAATTTCTTCAAGCATAGACCTTGATCAGTTTCCTTTGGGTAGATAACTTGTAAAGGAGCATAAACCTTTGTTTAAAAGTAATTAAACCTGAGGCATGCATTAATGAAACAGCCATTTTGACTAACGCAACTCCCTGTATGTGGGACTAAAAAGTAAAGGAGAAAGTAAATGTTTGTCAAATGGAATGCAAACCGAATTAGGGCTGGAAAAATAGGGTATAATGATAGAATTGCACTTCTCTTTCTACGATTCAATTAAACAGCCTTCTCCGCAGGGGCAATGACGTAGATTGATTAAAACAAAGATTTTCCTGTGATTCGACATTGTTCCTTCAAGGCCAGGCCGAGTATTAATTTGGATAATCGAAGACAATTTGTACAAAAGTAATGGAATCAATTCAATATCAGCTCGCTCTAGACAAGATCTCGGTCTCTAATGCATGCCTGATTAGTAGAACAACTTCAATACTACACCTTCATTATAATGCAATTTTCCCATTATCATTAGAATGTGAAGTCCCAGAAAAAATTATGCCATGTGCTTTTTTTTCTTCTAAACAAAAAAACAATTGGAGCGAGAGCATTCCAGTGAGGGAGAACTGGTGGAAATACATGAAGGAGGGTTAAGGAGATTGGATCCATGTCGTGAATAATTGAATTTCCTGATGTACAAATTTGATACCTGCAAAGGTCGCAGGAAGAAGCAGGGAAAATGAAAGCGAGGTTAAGAGAAAAAAGACCTGGTGAATATGAAGAGAAACAAAAAGGAAACAAAAACCTTCGCAGGCGCGATCAGGTAGAAGAAGTAAAATCTGTTATTTTATTTCATCCGTCTGTAATGGAATAAAAACCAGCTTTTAGCAGACCTGCAGAAAATACTGAGGAGGAAGTATAGACAATTATTTCCATCCAGCATAATATTCCACCGACAATATTTTTCTCCCCTCGCATTCTCTCTCTCTCCCTCTCTATCCATCCCCTTGTTTTCCTCGCCCACAAACATGCAAGCGCAGAAATCTTTAAGATGTTGCAAATTTCATTAAATGCGCCTGCTAGTCCACAAATGGACTTTTTTCTGGGCTTAACGGGCCAGATATCTCCCGATTATTAGATTTGAATTTGTATTTTGTGCATTTTCTGCATGAGTATGTCGGTGTTTCGTGCACTTCTGCGGGTCACGGAGTAGACAAATACAACCATGGAGGGTGTATCGGGGCGCATCTAAAGACTGACTTTGACTAAGTGATTATTTAAATCTGCGGAGAAGAAATAATGAGGTTTACTCAGGATATATACCCTTTACTTTTCTTCTTCTCTTCTTTCTCTCTCTCTCTCTCTCTCTTATTATCCCTCTCTCTTATTATCCCCCTCTCTCTCTCTCTCTCTCTCTTTCTCTCTCTCTCTTTCTCTCTCTCTTATTATCACTCTCTCTTTTTCTTTATCTGTCTCTTCTATTGGTTACATGTGGGTGACAAAATATGGACTACAGTGTATATGATATGAAAGTTGAGTATACTCTATCACATTAAAGTGTTGGTTCCGACCTTCAAAATAGAAAACAAACTTTGAAGTATTTTGAAAATCAATGTATAAACTGAGCTGAGATCGGTAAAGGTTTACTTTTTTTTTCTTTTTTTAGAATAAGTGGGCATTTGTATCTTCCTTTTAATGAGAAATAAAAGCATGCTGTTTATGAAATTCTATTACGGTAGATTTTTTTAAAGCAAATTAGTACTTAGCCAATTGTTAGAGGGAATAGTAATGGAATGTAAAAAAGAAATGTTTACATCTAATATTTTTATGAAAAAGACTCTTTTCCTAGTTAGTTAATTGATAGTAGTTAAATAAATTAAATCAAAAAATAAATTGTAAAAGAAAATCTGAGAGGATTTTGAATTGAATATTTATTAAAGCAATATAATTATGAATCAGAAAATTGATAGAATATTGAATTAAATACTTTGGTGTATGTATGCAACAAAAGTAAAACAAACATTAGACAAAATATGAAATACGATATAACACAGTAATTATGGATGATTAATTTAAATTGAATTGACTAGCAGGTCTTCATTATACTCTGTTGAAAGAAAGATGAAGAGTTACCGCCCCATCCCTCCTCCACAATTCAGTGGGTATATAGAATTCCATAGCCATCCCATAATAGTCATTAATTTCTCTATGGCAACCCAAGCATTCCAATACAGCCAGCATTCCGTATAGGGCATCGGATAGCAGGAGTGATGACGGTAAAAGAAAAAAATCACTAATTTATGGAATCCACCACCCTTATCACCAATCAGCTGTTAGCCAACCCCTATGAAAAATAATCTGATTATTCAAATTAGACTGGGGAAAAAATTGTCCCACACACCATCTTTATAGTGTACCTTTCCTCCAACACACACTCTCACACACACCATTAACATTACACATGTTATACACACACTCAATTCCTGTCTATTGTGTCTTCTGGACCCATGTGCAATTTGTGTATAGGAATAAGTTGTGTATATAGATCTAATAGCTTAGCTCAGCCCCCTCATTTGCATATTTATCAAGTCACTTTTTATGATGAAATATCCCAGTTTGAAGTCCTTTTTTTCTGGATGGGAGGAAGATGATTTATTCTTTACCCCTCTCTAGTACCGGTATTAATAGTTGACTCAACCCCCATCCTCCCATCAGCTGATCGAGTGCGTTCGTTGGGCTTTGTTGCCAGTCCATACCTATACACTCTTGTAATGACTTGCACCCTTCAAAACAGAGACATACTTGAGTGACTGCAGCTCTGGCTCTCTTAGGATCTCCCCCGCCGCCACACGCACACGAGCTGGCTCCTCTCCCCGTGAATACATAGGAGTTCCCCCAGTCGACAGTGCACCCAGTCATACTCGCACACCGGTGCAGCAGGGGGAAAAAAGAGAAAGATTCGGGAGACACTCTGATCTTGTATTGTATTGTCCACACGTGTGTACATTTGACTTGTGAACTCTTGATGTTACGTGGGTTAGAGATCGACGGCGGTGCGCAGGCGATTGAAAACTAGGTGAATGGACTTAGTTCAGACTTTTGTGCAGTGCTGTTTGTGAATGTTTGGACTGGACCTTTTCACTTGATTTCATACATTGGTTTGCATCGAGGAAAAGGTAATTATACCCTTTTTCCTGTGGGCTTTTTTGTTTTGTTAATGCAGTGTTGTCTACTAGAAATTGCTGGTGTTTACATGCCTACTTATTTTGTTTTCATTAGTGTATTCACTTCATAAAAGTAATTTGACCAACAACAAAAAGAAAAAGAAAGAAAGTTGTAGAGAGAGACTTTTTAAATTGGACGTTGAGGCTTCTTTATCTCATATCTATAGAAACCTCCATAGTTCAACTGTAACTTTACTTTAGTCAGTGCTTCAAGAATTTATGTACATGTATACAACTCTATCAATTCATTTTCCCCCTTTTTTTACATTTCCTTGAAAATCTACAATTTTTTTGTTGTTGTAATGATGCCCCTTTTTAAAGTTGTGTGTGATTTTGATGGGAAATGTTGTACAAGTTCTTCTTACATTTATGCTGGAAATTTGCAATATTTCAGTCATGAATGAAGAATGTTTTTCTTCTTCTTGGAACACAGATGATTTTCCAGATAGATCTTCTGCTCATACTTGAAAAACACAATTTATTTATCTTGGAGTGATAAATTGTAGTCCAACTTTTACAACTTTCATCAGCACTGTTGTACAACTAAAAGCCAAGCTTACATTCTTCTAAATTGTAGAGTTGTGAAATACAGAAAAGTAATTTGCAGCCTTTATGTAATCTTGCTGATTAATGAAGATAAAACGCTTGCGTGTTGGGAGTTTGTTCTGAAGTGGACCTTGCTAATACACAATGAGGGTTGCCCATACTTTGTTACAAAATTGAGCATACATACCCTGTATTTTACTGAAAAATTGTGAATGACCAATTAAGTCTTATTAAAATAGTATACAATGCGCAGTTATACCAGCAAAACTTATCAGTTTTTGTCCTCATATTTTCCTCATTAGCCCCATTTAAAATACTGGATAAATGAATGACTCAGGATGTTGTAAAACCTAAATAAGGGCAGGTCTTTATTTGAGGGCTTTTTGTGGTTTAGTTATTGACAAGACAAGAAAAACAAATCTTTACAACAGGCTTGAGGAGGGAAAGGTTGTCTGCAAATATTTGCTCAAGGATTTTAGACCAGTCTATCCAATTTTGTTGTAGTTTGTTTGAGAATGTCTTGAGAGGAAGAAGATGAAGATAAAAAGCTTTGTTGGTTGAAGTTTTGATAGTTGTCTATCAACATTACTCATTGATTTCTCTTTACATATTGCTCAAACCTGATTAGATTGATAAAAGAAATTTATTTGAGACTCCATCAACGATGAAAAAGTACACCTGCAAATACAAACAAACTGTATTTTCTACATACTGTATGTCATAGAATGGGTCAATCAGAACAGATGCTGAACAGAGGTCGAAATAATCAATTAAATTGTTCGATTTGGTCAAAAGAACAAAATGTCTGTTGTTAGCATGACTGGTTTTTGACAGATGGAATTTAATCATCAAAATATTTGTTATGTTATCCAAGAAACTGGTTAATTAAATACTAGTATGTCTAACTCAAATCTTAGTCAAAATACAATGTAGTTTTCTCCTGTGTACAGATATCTTTTTTTAGTTTGACATTCCTTTGGTAGCTTTTTAAAAAAAGTGTTTTATAGTTTACAACAGTTTGGAATTATCTTTCCTGCATGTACATTTGATATATTCAGCATATAGATGTACATGTACATACATGTCAAAATGAAAGAAAATACAATTTTTATTAAGTACAATTTCAAAACAAGAATTACTTGTTATTGCATATTTAGCCTACAAGTTTGGTTATGTGCACATTATTGGTAAAACAATTGTAATCAGGGAATATTGTATCAAATCTGCAGGTCTCGAACATACTACATAGCAATAAATGAAGTAGCAATATATTTCAAAGCTATTCCAGACGTATATATGAAATATCAAATTACATCGTCTCCGATTGAAAAATGGCATTTCTTGGCCACATGAACTTTTGGTTGGCTGTGATTCCAAGATCACATAAATCTTGTTGTTTTCTTGCGCTTCGACCAGTCATGCCATGATCAAAAGACGACTTTATTGAATTTGTCTGATTCTGTTCGGGGCTGGCCATGGACAATAAACAATTTGTCTTTTAACAATTCACAATTTGGTTGGATGGGCATTTATCTTTGGAGCGGGCGAGCTGAAGATGTTGATGTAGGAGTTTGCTTGTCATACAAGAGTGGACAGGCCTTTAACTACGTTGATTGGAAGATGTCTTTTAGACAGGACACAATTTTACCCCAATCTATTTTGTATACTTTTCTGTAAAAGCTACTTGTTTGGGGTTTTAAAAAAAAGGTTTAAAAAAACAAACTTGCTTCTCCGTGTCTGTAGATGTCAGAAATGTGGGAAAATTGGAATGCTGACTTTTAACTTATACTGCCTGTCTTCTTTTCTTTTTTTATAGCAGTGATATTTAGTTTCATATAAACCATTCCCATATTACTTCAGTGATGGATGATAGCAGAGAGTAAATCTTAAAATCAATTGTTTATTTCCATTTCAGTTTCATGTCATTAATATATATTTTATAAATCTATTCAATTAGCCTTATGTTTATACCTCATACTTTTTACAATTATGTTGTGATATCCATCAACAATCTTTATTTTCATTCGACATAATCGCTATAGTATTTATATTATTATTGAAATTGACATTTTTTTCTTAGGATGGTGATTATGCACCATAAATATAGCAATACCAAAAAGAAAAATTACAAACATGTGGAAGATGGTAGAAAATATGATTACCATTGCCTTGGCACAGGACCATATTTGGATAGGCCTATATGCACAAGGTCAAGTAAGCAGAAGCAAATAGCCATGGAAATCGTCATATTGCTTAATATTTCATCACTCCCATTTGGAAAAGAGAGAGGAAGAGAGAAGGAGGGAGATGGAGACAAGGAGGGAGAGGGGAGGGAAGGAAAGAGAGGCGGGATAGGGGCAGGGAAGAAGGAGAGAGAGAAAGTGGAGGTAAGTGAAGGATAGGAGAGAGATAGAAAGGGGAAGAGGGTAAGGGAAAAGAAGGGGGTGGGGTTGAGAAGAGAGGTAGAGTAAAGGAAGAGATGGATATTGATATTAGTATTGGGATGGGCAGGGGGAAGATGAGGGGTATTAGATGACCAAGAATTGCCATATATAGTGGAGGATTATTCAAATATCAATGTGTGTTCTGTCATGCATGGACATTGCAATTACATATTGGTGACCATCAATTTCGGATGTTAGTCTTCTTTCATAGACCCTGTTCACAAAATATATTGTTTCTACGGGTGTGTCAGTTACGGCGTACCGGTATGTACATGTAAGAGTCACTCATTATTGGAGATCTACCAATATATGATGCTGATATACATGACATGAACTGACTTTTAAAATGTGCAGGACATGGCTTGATATTATGTGCTTATTTATAGTTTTTCATAAGAATCTTTTCTTTTCCTGTGGAGTAAATAAAAAAGAAATGTTTAGAAATACATTTCATGTAGAATGAAAAGGTTTTTGTCTGTACTTGTACTGATGACAGCAATACACCTTTTCGGCTGTTTGATAGTCTATAAAAATAAACCTCACATTTTTAGTCTGATCATTCTTTGGGGTTTTGCAGCCTCAGATGCAAGCAGAGAAAGACTGGGCACAAATTTGTGGAATGTGTTTATTGCAAAGAATACATCTGTAGATTAACCTGTAATGCCTTGCTAATGCTAACCTTATATGAGACAATTGGGTAAATTTTGATATTTAGGACTAGTGTTACACAAAATAGCAGAGAAAAATGTTACACTTTATAATAAAGAGTTAACTTAAATTCGAATTCATAGAGTTTGTGTCTTGATATGTTTTAACTCATGATGTGTATGGAATGAAACAGCTATTAGTTTCTATCTGGGCCCTACATTATGGATTGATTCAAATCAATCCCAATTCTTCATAAGACGAGGGCCCTGGTCTGGTGTTGAAGACTAATGAACATTTTAGGGTAACCCCCTGTTGCTCCAAGGGGCCTTGTCTACCAGGTCAGTGACCCCTACGGTATTGTATCCTCCAGTGGTGGGTGGGTGGGTGGGTGGTTTATCCCAATCCCTACATGGCTATCAGCTGCCAGATTATAGCCCCTATTTAAATTCTCTTCTCCAAGTAATGTCCAAGTATGGTCAAAATGGTAGTTTCATTGTAACTCTACTAGTTTTAGAACCTCTAAATTGTATTTGTACTTCCATAAACATTGTACATTGTAGATAATAGGTAGATAAAGCATTTTTAGGAGTTAATTTCACGAAAGTGAATAACGTTTTTGTTGCAAACATATACATGTAAGAATATCAGATTTCTTTTGTACTCAACTGATATACTAGAGTTACTTTTGCTTATTTCCCTGAATGTTGTGAAAATGTTTGCCAAGAACATTACCGGTATTCTAGATCTATAAAAACCTTTAAAAAAACACTATCCCGTGTCAGAAAAAGTTTATATTTATACTGGCAATTATCTTAATGGTATTTGATATTAGGTATAGTGTTTGTTTATTTGATTCAGAGTTTAGTTTGCAGCGATCATGTTTTACTTTTGTGTGCGGCCTACATGATATTGCAGAAATTATCCAATAATTTATTGTACATGAAGAGGGTTTGAATTGCATTTGCTTGGAAAAAAGTTCAAGTCACCTTCCATAAGTTCGTGGTTGATTTTTTTCGACTAAAGATCACTTTCTCCAATGACCATAAATAACCATTGAAATTACCAGTTTTGCTCACATCATCATCCAATTGAGTCAAATGAGCTAGCAAAACTTGTGTGAATTAAGTCCTAATTATCCTGGGCCTTCAAGGAAAGTAGAGAAATAAAGCGGGGAGAGAAAGCAGCGACGATATCGCAGATAAACACCAAGCTAGTAATAAGTTCTTCATTAGTATCCAGCGTGAGACATTGGAAATTTTGCGTGAATTCCTGAGAAAGTGGAGTAGACATGAGGTGGCAAGCGATGGACGTAAA